GGAGTGGCGGTGGTTCTTGCTCTTGTAGCAACAGAAGCCCGCTTGAGACTCAGAAAAAACATGAATCTTGACAAACAACCCGCCGTACATGCTCCAATCTTGTTCAAACACCTTCAAACGCTGCAGCCCGCATTCCGTGGCCTTCACTTTCAAAGGATTGGTGATTGCCGCATGCAATGCAAGGACATCAGAGACCAAGGGCCCAGGGTGACCTTGACTTACAAATACATGCATATGAGCTTCATACTGTCATCGGTGAAGCACCACCGGCCCAGTATCAGTCTCATTGCTTGAACATGTGCAGCTATGAACGGTCTCATGCAAACTTGGAAGGTCTGTCAAGGAGCCGGTGCCAGCCAGAACCTTGAAGGACACCGGAGTATTGCCTCAGTTGCAATGATGCAATACCAACGACTTGTCGTGCCCTCTTGATTTCTTGGCTGCCTACTTTGAGCTGTGCAAGGGCTTCTGGCCACCTCACCAAATTTGCCGTGATGCTGATGCCATCGAAATACTGCTCTGTCACGATCCTGGGCTGAATCAACAACTCCTTCTTCAAGGCTAGGCATCTGCAGATTCCTCATGATAAAGCAAACGCATGGGATCTGTAAGTGCCTCACTTGTCCAGAGGCACTTCCAACAGGAGATGTCCGCTGTGCACAGCGACTATCAGGCACCTGTGGCTCCAACTCTCAGAGGGCAGGAAGAGGGTTTCCGACACACTTTAGTTAAAGCGATGCCGCATGCATGGTCTTTCAAATGCCTCTAGTGTCCTCATTCCCTCCGCTCTGTGGACAAGCAGAAGCCCCTGCCCACATGTCTGCGCTGGTCCTGCATGGACCCTTGCGTAAAATCTTAGGGCACCATGGTGGACAAGGGGCGGACCGTCCGGCGAGAAAGCAATGCCACCAAGACCGTACTCACTTTGGAATACCTGTCACAAGCCATGACTTGCCTGCCTGCAATTGAACTCCCGTATTTCGAACAGGTCTGAACAACAGGATCACCAAGCCCCTGACCCGCGGCCTCCACGCTGCTATCACTACAGGATGGATACCATAGGGAGCACTAGAGCATTACTATATGATTATATTCTTCTCCAAGACTGTTCTTCCTCCATTGATGCCAAGCAGCAGTTTGTACTGCGGGTGGTTCTGAACGCAAATCCACCGCCCTGTGCCAGAGCCAAAGAGCTGTGACAAGGCTCCAAATTTTCAAGCACTGCAGAAAGGCGGACTTCAGCTTGATCCTGCTTCATCTTCGGCATTCCATACTGCATGGATCCCTGCATCCCTGGCGGCAGCCTGATGGCATAGAGTTCGCAAACCTTGGCTTCCGCGCGACTTGTCCGGTCCACATGCACAATTAACTTGGGAGCAGCAAGTGGCTGACCGCGATTCTACACTCAACATCTCAAATGCGTCAGTGCACGTAAGCATTCCTGAGTGTTTGCAAATCACCCTCTCCTTTCACGGCCAGCACATCGAATCTGGTGCGCAATGATCGAATCATGATTGAGTCATGCGGTAAAGCGGAGGTCGCAACATTGTGCGTTTACCACAATGGCATTCCCAGGATTTGCCGCCTATGAGGCCCGAGAAGAGAGCTAAGAACCAGCTTGCAACTGCTGGAGTCTACTGTGGAACTGAATATAGCAGAGCTCCAGCCAAAAGTTCACGCTTCAATCCCGACTTTTATAGAGTTCCTTCTACGTGGACTACGATGTGTACTATTTAGTCCTACCCACACCCCCTGATCCATGAACTCAACCCACCCTTCCGTAGACCAAAAACGCAAAACGAGGTCTGCCGGGTTTACATTGTCAGGACATTAATCAGGGTGTATTGCTGTGAGAAAGACTCTTACGTGTTTCCGCATATGGGCCAAGTGAAGCAAACTAAAAAATGAAACCAGCGCTTGCAAGCTCCAATTTGGCTGTAGCTTCTTTGCTGACTATGCAGGTTCGCAAATCATGCTCTGAAGCACGACGACGACAGCTGCGTAAGAGTCCGAGACACGTACAATGTCGAAAAATCCTCTGCCAAGGCTAGATCATGCGGGAACTCCTTGGTAAATCCATGCATGCACGCCATGCTCTGCGGTTCTTGCGGTCGCAAAGGGAAGAGCCTTCAGGAGGTTTGCTCAGCCACCGCAAGCCTTGCTTTGCAAAGACAAGCGTCTAGTGCCCCCAAGCGACCATCGCAACCATCTCCTGGCCAAGGCGGGCCTCCAACCAGGGCAGACTCAGCAGAAAAAAGGCATTTTAGCTTTCTTCCTCCATTCCTGCCCGCAACGATTGAGTGCGGGTTAGGGACCTGCGCTGCCACCGCGGATGCCCAGCTGGCCAGCCACCACGTGAGGTGCTTGACTTGGTAAGCAGCACCAAACCTCAGTTCGAGCTGCACTACCTGCAACCCCGTTTGCACACCACTGTTGCCAAACATGTTGCAATGCTGCCTTGCTGGACGCGTACATGGCTGCCAGCTTCTTCTGGAAAGGCAATTAGCTGATGGAACAGTGTTCCAAGGGTGTAATGGGGTCATAGGCAGGGCGGCTCAGAGCGGGCTTGTCTGCACGACGCTTGGGCCCCGGCACAATGCTGCGACATGTCAGCTACGTACAATGCCCCGGTGTCCTCCGACGCAACACGTGCAGTCTTCCTTCCAAAAATGTGTTGCATTTCCGTCAGCCTGTGCAAATGCCACCGCTCGCGGAGTTTTCACATCAGCCTTTCAGAGCCGGTTGACGCACTCACGTCTGACTAAGGTGACTAACGAAAACTCTCTTGTGGCAACGGCGGTTTGACCTTACTTGTTCGTACCTTTCGCAGCTAACCCTTCAAACCTGCAATGGATGCACATGTGTTAACTGATCAGCCATGCAGCGAAGCACAGGATCACCTCCAAAGACGCTGGGAAGCGGCCAGCAAGGCCCTGCCAAGATTTGTGAACCCACTGAATGTTCAGCATGACATCTTCCCGGTTCCATCCGCCCATCATTGATAGCTTGGACCCCATAGCTAAATCAGCTACAGTGGCCGCGAATCCTTTCCTACCGCTTCCGACCTCTCGGGACTTGTGCGACCCGGCCAGGGCAGCTCGACGACAGTTGGCAGTGTTTGATGTGACACATGGAGTAGACAAACAAAAACGGCAGAGGACGTGCGCCGGCCAAGGAAATTGGTGGCCAAACTATTTTGAAAAACGACGGCCGAACCCATCTGCCGTCAAGAGACATCCACTAACTGCCACAAACCCACGCTATGCTGCATCAGAACATTTGCGGCCTCTGGCCCCAAGTCCGGCAGGAATTCGTCACATGTTGCCATCAGGTCTGCATGCACGCAGCTTGTGCCATGTGCTCGTGTCCCAATGCTACTTGTACATCGGTCAGAAAAGAGCACAGACCACCCGTGTGATGCTTTGAGCCTGAACACTGCCTACCAACTAGCTTCCTATCTACTCACGAAGCTGAGGTGGTGTGGAATCCTGTCCGTCCCCTGCATCCCACATCTGGCGACACTCTCCAAATGACCCGCCCGCCATCACAATGCATATCTGTCAGAGCTTGATCCGATGAAGCGCAGCCTATCGCGTCTCGTCAAGAACGCATGATGTAGGTACGGTGGAACGGGACAACCATAAGACAGCTTGCCTTTGTCTCGATCAAAAGGCCCTGACTTTGGTCAGACGCTTCCGTTCTTCGGACACACGGGTGTTGGCCTGGCAATTACAGGGAGAGGCTTGAGTGAAATCATGGCAGTGCACAAGCATGAAACAGTGGGTTTTGCCGCCTCTATTGTATGTTCTGCCAGGCCTCTGCCAGTTCACGGGAAAGACGTTGAGCCAAGTCCAGCAGCTGCTCTGCTGCCATGGCATTGCTGTTGTGTTGGTCTGAGGATTTGTCCGGGATGAAAAGCTACGATGGCCATGGGCGCCCCCGCACAAATGTAGCCGTCTATGATGTATTGATTCGCATGGTGGTGAGAAGAGGTCATAAAGACAGATAAAACTGGCAGGTCGCGTCGGCAGCAAGACTTCCTGTTGTTGTCTTAGTGCTGCATGCCTGTCTCAAGATTGCCAACTGAAAATCGAGAATCCAGACATTACCAGGTGAAAGCAAAAAAGTGGTAAGCCTTTTGTGGCGAAAGCTGGCCTCAGCTAGTTCTTAGAATTGCCTGCCGATGCAATCTAAGCCCAACATCTGTGCTAAAGGAACTGCAACGGAGCATCCCAGCACTGAACTCAAACGGCCAGATTTAACTTTGGATGACGTGCTCTCTGCTCAATGGCCCGGGCTAAGCCACTAAGCTTGTCTTCAGCCCACCCTTCAGGGCGTTGCGGGCTCGAGATGTCAAATCCAAGTTTTCTGATAGGGTTTCCTTATGATCGGTTATGATGAAATTCAGGATCCCAGTGATGCAGTTGGGACAACAAATGTTCGTGTCAAGCACGCTTCAGGCACATACTAGGCAGGCTTTCAAGAGCGAACCCTCAACCCGAAATGCGCAAGCCCTGGACGAAGAAGGGTGAGCTTCAGGAATCGCGAGGAATCCAGAATCCAGCTCGTGCACAAGGGCTTACATAGCGGGCAGCGTTGACATGGTGCCTGTGCCAGGGAAATTTTCACTTATGTTGTTACAACCGCAAATCCTTTTCTGGGCCAAACGTTGCATCACTGCTACTAAAAACATACAAACAAAATATCAAACACGGGTGTCTCAAAATCATGGACCTTTCTTGGAACAAGCTTTTGAGACCGCGCTTATTGCTACCCCAGGTCCCAATCAGCTTTCCAATCTCACGGAGGCAAGTCCGACCTAAGGTCTCAAATCTCCCCATCAGGCGTAAAACCCTGCACCTTATCGTTAGTTTTGGACCTCGCGGCATGCAGACTAGGGCGTTGTTCACCCCGCCTTGCAGGGGGCATGTGCTGGGCATGCCCGTAATCTGGAGTCCTTACCCATAAGCGACCAAGCAAGTCATTGGTGGTCATTGAAGTTACTTTGAACTTGTCATCAGGTAGTCCTTGATCTCCGGTCTCCAGTCTTTGTGGATGAAAGCATACTCCATGCAGCATGCTTTGTGGATGTTCCTGAGTTTGCTTTCCGGGCTTTCAGGCTTAGAACGGGCGTCTGTCTTCAGGAACAGCAATGCAGCCAACAGGTCCCTGCTACAGACAGTATCTGCGTGAGATTATGTAGGGGTGTATGTGGACAGTGTGCAGACAGTTTGCAGTTTCAAGCGTATTTGCTCGAAACCCCAAGTAGAGCAGAGATTGCTAGGCACCAGAGTGTCATTTCATTACCAGCGACAGGCACACGCCCTGGTCTACTAGGCCGGTCGCTTGTACTTGACATTTCGTTGCACAAAAAAATAAGGTTCTCAATGTCTCATACGCGAATCCCGACATAGCAGGGACAAACTGACAAACTAAGCAGTTCCCACAAGCATACTGTTCATTTAATGCCAGCCAAAACCTCATTAAGGTTGGAATTCCAGCAAAAACAAGTATTCACTTTGGTCATCTGCTGAATGCCCTACTCAAATCTAAGATTAAGGCTACTAGTACGGGCCCTTAAATCTGACATCCTTGTATACATTACTATATACCCTACATGTGCATCTAAGGGTCCCTAGAATCCCCCTAAACGGCCTAAGGGCACATATCAGGGGCCTAGACCTCTAACCCAAAATGGACCTTACAGTGCCTTACAGGTGACGTTACACAAATTAACCTGCGAATCTCCCACGTCATTATCGTAAGCCTGAAAAGTGTATCCCTTGGGTAAATGGTAGTTTCCCTAGATAGGGGGACCCCTACATAGACCCCAAAATACGATAATCCTCATTACAGGGACCCCCCCAAAAAAGTACATCTAACATTGGGAAACTCCCCCAGTGGACCTCGCAAAGCCTATCGCCAAGGCACAACTCTGCGTGGAACAGCCTGAGGTTTGCACTCTCGATGCTGTTCATCCACTCGGCCAACAAGGCCTCCGTCCTCTGGGTTGTCTCAAAAGAAGCCAGTAGAGGTCCCAGGTGGTCTTAGGCATGTTCAGCTTGGGGCCAAAGTCGTTTTGCGAGGATTTGGGGTTTTGCTTGCCACTGGAGTGCGAGATCTACGACCGGGCAAGATTTTGGAAGTTGGTTACATCTTGGGATGTCCTGAATTCACGACATCCTCTTGTAGGGTGGTCGAGGGATGCATAAGATATAGAGCTCTCATCCCGAGCCCCAGAACCCTGAACCCGGGACCCAGTCCTGAAGGTTCGTGTCTGGTGAGCCTCGACCAGAAGCCTGGATAGGGTTATATACGGGCCATATAGGATTATATAGGGGTTATATAAGGGTTTAATTTACAGGGGTTATATAGGAGTCATATCGGGAACTGCTGTTACGATGGTTATTGATAATACTGACTTTCAGTCACTGTCATTTGTGATTACTACTACTAAAAAAAGGCACCCGTTTAGGGAACAGTGATCTTTGTAGGCCCCAAACTTCCATGTTCATGTGGGAGAGTGTAATAGCCCAGACCACGGAAGCAGAGATAGCTGGCACCATGTCTTTTGGGCCCTGCACATGGGCTGAATCAGAGCCTTGTTGATAATAGTAAGAATAAGAATCATAATAATCATAGTAATGATAATAATAGACGTAGCAATAATCATAGTAACAATGGCAGTAATGTGCTGTAGCGCTGGAGTTTCCATGAACTCAGGATCTGATTCTTGCCACAGCTCAGGATCTGGTTTAGGCATTTGGCTGTGGGTCGCTGCTACACTTTGGAGAACCAACCCACGAATAGAGAGAGCATTTGCCATGCTCAAGCCATTCTCAAAAAGAAGCTGCACCATTTAAAAGTCCTTTTAAAAAGACCTGAAACAGCAGATCAGATGAATGCCTCGAGGCAACCAGCATACAATAAGTAGACTGGAGTGCAGGCTGCAATGCTTCAGACAATGTCACTGCTAAAGGATGATGTATCTTGACAAGTGTTGGTTCGTTCAAGGCTACACTTCTCCACAGGACCTCAACTGCTACAACAAAAAATGCTGTTTTCACTGGGTCCCACCCAGGTTCCACCCAAACTTACAACCGCGGAACTGCCCCACTGACGGCCAGCCATCCCGCGCAAGCTGGCGTACAACCTGAGTGTGGCAGAGGGAGAGGAGGAGTCAAGCAATGGTCTTGCAGCTTGAAAAAAATTCTCAGGCTTGAGCTAGAAGAACTTGCATTTTTGCGGGCTCGGATCTGACACATGTTTCTGCAGTCCATGCACACAGGGTTGGTTAAGATTTTGCTTCTCGAGGCGCCAAGGAACTCCAAGCTCCCCACCTTCGATGTCAATCTTGAGAACATCCAGGAAAGTATGATGATTCTCCCTCATAATGGTCTGCAACGTCAGATAGGGCGCAGTCGGATCACTTCGATTATCCGAAGCCCGCAGTCCCACGTGATGGTATGTCCAACCAGGTCCACGTGTAACCCCCACATCGCCAAAAGTCGGATCAAAGATGTGGATGTCACAATTCAGACCCAGCGCCTGGATCTCCATTTCCCCGACACCCTTCTTCCAAGCGGGCTATACATTCTGCAGGGCCCTAGGCCTAAACCTAAAATGCTCACCGCATCCTACTGGCATCCTGCCAGAAGCTTGAAAGTCTTGCTGTGGAAAACAGATGCCTTGATGCCCTCCTCAAACTTGAAGTTTCCTTTTGAGCCGAAGGAATATACCACGCACGGCTTCTGCATCACGTGTGCACCGCACATCCTTAGGCAATGTCTGGATAAAAGTGCGCACGCTCATTGACTTTAGTCCCTTTGGACTGGGGAAAGCAAAAAAACAAAGCCTCTTCAAAATGTACAAGTTAGTTAGATTGTACCCCGAGATTTCGGCACAGAGGATACGGTCTTTAGCTCAAAACCCTCAATGTTAAACCAACCTGCTCAACGGCCCCGTGTCCATTTCGATCCATCTCCCACTCCCTCTCCGATCAAAGCTTCGCCCCACATGCCTGAGCTAAGGGCTTTGGGTGTGGAATTGACGGAGGAGATGGGACACTGGGGTGTGTTATGCGACAATGGACAGTCATAACAGGACTCTGAGGGATCCAGAGTGTCTTACTTTCGGGGTTACGACCTGTCACACCTGGGGTGGTTGCCAGCGTGAAGTTGAAGTTTGAGGACATGGCTTTGGTGTCTACTTCTCAAGTCGGTAGATAAACTGGCGTAAAGCTGGATGCAGCCAAAGACACAAGGCCAGTTGGGGCTACTGAACTTTTCCCACACCAGTCTAGCCAGCTCGCGTTCGCGAGCTTGGTACCAGTACGCTTGCTCCGCTTTTGCCTCAATGTCCAGCAGCACCTAGGCGTTGTCGTCAGTGCGAATACTCCAAGAACATGTTGCACATGTGAGGACATGTTGCACATGTGCATGCCTTGTGAATGCTCAAGCGTGGTGCCGTGCTGCGGTTGTAGCCGGAAGGGTTTTGAACGTGCGGAAGCTTTGGAATACAGATGTGAGGCCCTGATCCACTAATAGTGGGGGCTGAGGTCTCCCAGCCTTAGGGAGGGGTACGTAAGTTGAGGCAACTTCCAAGGGGAGAGTTCAATGAATTCAAAGCCCGAAACTCGCCTTTTTGCCTGAGAGGTCGGTTTGCGTCTGCCGTTCGGCATGGCTCAACCGAATAATCCGGTATTTTGCTGAACCCCTAAGCCCCGCAAACTCACGAGCCACGGCGCCGCTGGCCGCATAAAAATTCCAGCTGGCACACCAGCTGCCGCGGCCACTTTGGGCTGCGTGAAGGGCCTTTGTCTCATGTAAATGTTAGCGTGGCTGTCAGATTTATGGGGCTTTGGAGCTCGAGGCTTTCAGGAGAGATCATTCGAAGCATGAGCATTGAAGTCTTGAGGATGCATAGGTCTGAGGATGCGACTTGGGGCATGGTTCCAGCCTGTTCCAGGCCCGGCAAGGGGCGTATGATTACAATGCCGAAGCCTTCTGTAGCTCACATGCCTATACCTAGGAGGGATGGCGATGGAAAAAGGAAGCTGGTCAGAAATCCGTGCATACATCCGCATTGAGAGGGATTGAAGGTTCTGGGTAAAAGCCGATGATGTTGAAACGACGCATCCACGAAGCAGCCACTACCGCCATCCCCTTGCACAGCCAAGCGCGGCAGGATGCGACAAGGCAACCTCATGGCCATGCGAACGCCGCACGCGTTGTGTGAAACAAGTCTGGATAAAGGCATGCGAGCAAGCCAGTGCCAATGCCGACGATGGTGCAGCATACAAAATCTTATCGACCCTTCCTGTGCCAGCAGGTGCGATGCCAGGACATACGTGCCCAAACCCAAGAGCCCACTACAGCAGGATCAAAAGCAACCAAAACGGTGTTATTCAGGCACTACATGCCATGACCAAAGCAAGGATCTCCGCTGGAACCGGAGCCACAGGTTTCTGCGACTTCTCCTGGTTCCTGAGGCGACACGTCTCGGAGCGATCAAATCTTCATTGGGGCTACGCTGAAACGACAAGGTTGTCAAAAGGGACGCAAGTGGCAGGCTTGATCCACTGGGACTGCTATTCCGGCCCCATAGATGGATCATGAGCCTGTCTTCAAGTGAGCTTCACAGCGGGGTCGGGAAGCTACCTGTGTGTGTGTACCTCACGGATATGCTTTAGAAAAACTCAGGAGAAGAAAAGAGACGTGAGACATCATGCCTCCAGGCAAGAAGAACTTTTCACGTAAAATCTAGCACTACCATGGCGGACTGCATTTTTGCTGTGCTCCACGGCAGTAGAGGCAGGCAGAAGAATGGAGCTCTGTTCCGCCACTAAGGTTCCGCTTCCTTACGCCACTAGCCCCAAAAAGCTTTGGGTGAGTCCGCCGCTGATGGCCTGCCTAGACAAAGTCTCAAGAAGCATGGGAGGGTGTCGCTATCCTTCGCTCAGCCCCGAAAACCTTCCAATATGAGCAAGCAAGCTTGGAAATCCCGCTCCTGCCATTAAAGCAAAACACATCCGCGCAGTCTGTGCAAAACACAGGCCAAGACTGGCCAACCAACAGATTTACTCCCCCAGCAACCCTGTGCATGAGTCCTGGCATTTGGGGTGCACAAGGGCGATCCTTTTTCTCAACAGACCCCGAAACATACGAAGCCTAAAACGCTGCACTGCATCCTAGCTTCACTGCAGCCATCAGTGCGTCAAAGCGCGCTGTGAGGCTATCGATCTTTTTCATTACCTCGCAAGGCTCCCTATCCCCAATAAAAATGCTCAATGCAAAGTGTATGTGACTGTGAGTATGTCGGGGACACACAAGATCTGGTAGAGCCGATGACAAAGTCTGCAATCACACAATCTAGATGACGCCTGAGGCAGGACTTGAGATTTTCGGAGTAAAACTAACACAGACCGTGGCAACAGCCACAAGCAACTGTAGATTGTGTAAGCTGGTTCCAACTGGAGCGCTTACCTGCCCAGAGTCAAAGTCAGTCAAGGCCATCCATCATGTCCCCAATTCATTCTAATACTCAGCACATTCCGGCTGTTCCACCTGGACAAATACATTAGTGCTTTGCACCCATTGTCCAGAAAGGAGTCAGGATGCAGACTGGAGAGCTAGGTTTATGATTCAGAGGTTCATGCGCGTCGCATGCACGTGTGGCTTTCAAGCCGAGGCATCTTAGCCACATTGACGTGAAGAAATGCGTAGGTCACTGGAGTGGCAAATAGCGTCTGAGCCCGAAGATGAATAGTTACCGTTGACATGTCAAGAGTCAAAAGCAAGTGTAAGGAACAGCATGACATTTTGAAACTCGCAGCCCCTTCTACCCAGTGTCCGCCGCAAAACAATAGCAAGAAGTCTTATCATCCTCTTCCTCAGAAGTTTGAGGCCGCCAGAATCTCGACCTAATGCTCACACCCCTGCAACCAAATGTGAGACTTCACAAATCCACTTCCAGCCTGAACCTCTTTAGTCCAACTTAAGAGAAACCAAGAATTTAGCCGCACCATTGCGCCTCGGCCCCGTCTCCATAAGGTCCTCTGACCATGTTCAACCCTGACAGGGCAAATGTTTTGAGGCTCTGGGCAAGCCTTGACGGGGATCCAAAGTTCGGTATGCTCCAAAATCTGGCTAAAAAAACATGTCCGATGAGTTTGATGTCAAGCCTTTGATTCTGAAGCTCGCAAGTCGCGAACGTCTGATCCCCTGTGATTTCCCTGCACACAGGCCAACGTGCCCAGGGCTCAACAAGCATGGCAGACTTTTCGGTATCTCCCAAGCCCCAACCTGAGATCACCAGAGTGAACGCCGAGAGGACAACAGCTATGCCTAGCACCAGCTCTTTGGAGTGCATGTCTCAGGCATCCTGGAAAGCGCAAAGCAGGAAAATTGTCTGAAGACCTTGACCTCTCAACCACTGACAGCAACACAAAACAGCAGACCGCACCGTCCTTCGTTGACGTCAGATCGATGGCCGAGGGCGTGCATCACTCATGGCAGCAAATGGCACAAGCTCGCTTCCTTCTTACTTGCCATCAGGCTGCACCTTGAAATGCACAACCGAACCTTTCCTACAAGATTGACAAACAAGGTCAACATTCCCGAAGCCAGTGTTAGTACCACCTAGAACCCTAGAAGATGGTTACCATGGTAGACTTTACCTTCTATGTGGAGGTACCATGGAGAATCCGCAAGGGAACTGTGACGAAGACTTGAGATCCCTCCACAAACACTGCACAGCAGGCACCTAAAGGTCCACCCGGGTTCCCAGGCCGCCGGATCGGGCAGGCCTACTTTCATGCAGCCAGCAAAAGATCTTTCTGATGTCCGGTCTCTACTCACTTGCTCAGCTTTGATGTCGATACCAGGTCAGACTCGTGCTTTCTAGTGGTATGGCAATGGCCATCGCTTGCAAGCTCAGCACGTCCGTTGTAGTGGCATGCCTGCTGAAGTGGTAATGTCTCTCCGGACTTTCACTGGCTTCAGACTTCGGTGACAGCTGCAAGAGTCCTTTTAAATCCGAGCTTTATGGAAGCCAGCTTCAGTCAATCTCTCAGCCTTTTTTGCCATGATTAGTTGCGTGTCCTCTGTCGCCGGGTCAATCCTGTCGCTGTTGACAAGTGGGCCAACGTTCGAAGACAAGTCATGAGTTGCTCACCCATCGTTCCCGCCTCACTGCGTGTGCATTGAGGTCATCAGCTTTGCGCGTAGCTGCGCCTACAGTAGTGCTGCAAAAGACTGCAGGGGTCATCCCAAAGTGCCCCGTTTCTCGACTTTAGAAGGTGCAACTGTGCATGTTGCTGTCAATATGCACAGTCTCCTGCCTCGAGCTTGTTCCGCAGAACCACAGTCCTTAAACAAACGTTGAATTGCGGCGGAACCCTTTCAGAAGGCGCTGCCATATGACTCGCTGATCTGCAGCTCTCCACACACAAGGCCATCAGAAGGCAAACTGATGAGCTGCAATGCTTCCACAATGGCAGGTCCTGTTTGCTGCCTGACGCTCTGGAGACCAGTCTGCGTCATCCTCAAGAAGCTGGGATGGATGGTGCTGCGAGACCCAGCTTCTTGCTCTTTGGTCCATCATACAGCGATGTGAAACAAGGCCAGCCTCGCTATAGGAGTAGTCGTCTGGCTCGTGGAGCTGATGCATGGCCTTGACCGTCGACGGACTTTCTGAACGTGTTTTGCTTTGCCACTTGCATGGCACTGACGGCTCAGCAAGGTTCAAATCCGGCGAAGTCTGACTGAAAGCGTGTTCTGTTTAGGATGCAGGGCTCTGGAACCCTGATCTTCTTGGCACCCGAACTGGCCGCATGGGCTTCAGCGGCTGGCCCCAGAAGTGTTCTGCACAGCACGTCATATGAACTGCTCTTAACACCTTGGTCTGCTTCCCTGGGCATCTCAGAATCATCATCATCATCTGGTTCTGCTACTACGATACCAATCTCCGTTTATGAGCCTTCTAATAGCAGGCTTCCAGAATTTATCGGCCAAGGCAGTTCTGAGGAGGAACCTGAGCCAATCAAACAAGCTCGAAAGCTTACGTTCGTACTCTTTCGGGCAAACTTCTGTTGCCGTAGGATAATAAGAATAAGGGGGACCCAAACAAGCATCATGTGAACAACTTCTCTGGATTGGTCCTGCCGGCGGCACTTCTTGCACAGCTGCCTTGGCTTGATCCAGAGCTAGAGCCAGGAGGATTAGGAGGAAGGTTCTCACAAGCAAGGGCACCAGGCCTGAGTCGATATCTGCGTCTTCAACTCAAACCTGGAAAGGCTTCGGCGCCATCAAAGCAGGGATAGTGCAGGAAGATAGTAGGTTACAAAACCCTGTACTCAACAACTGTTCAGTATTGCTCAACGAGAAAGAAACTTGCAGCTGTTGGCCCTCTCCTGGGATGGTCTTCATGGTGCCCAAAAAAATGTGGCGTGAGCTCAGCTTGTCGGTTTGCAGCAAGCATCCGAACGTACACAGTTTATTGTACTTGACTCAGGCCACGGCAATTTCTCCTTGAGCTGCATCCTCCGCTTCTCCAGGCTAGCAGCGGGCTGCAAGAGCCTCGATGGAAGCTGCAACCTATTTGAAAGCCTCCCAAACAAACGCACATGATGGCAGAAGGAGTAGTCAGGCATCTGGGGATTTGGAACGGCATGAAGGGCAGACGCTGCGCATGCAACGCATGCCGTCCATGTGGCCCTGCATCCGCCACTGCCTCTTGCAAGCTGGCCCTTGTTTGCGCAAAGGGCGGAGACACATGATGTCACCCAGGCGGAAGCCTCCTCTCCTCACTCCTGCCGCTGTCCGCAGGCCCTGTTTGTGCGGAAGGTCACCCACTGCTGAAAGGCCAAAAATGCTTCAGAAATTACCATCATGACACAAGAAGCCGGGTGCCAGACGGTGCTGCCGCCGCATCCTCTTCATGTCAGAGTGCGGTGTTTTTGCAAAATACACCAGAATGCAGGCTACCTAGTCTATGCATGTTAGTTTCTAATTAGTACAGTATGGACGCATAGGGATATGGAAAGTGCAGAGCGAGCATGGATCAGCATGGCATTATGGTCAAACGTCCTGGCGCGCTGCATTCTGGCCGTGGGCAGTTGCACCGGCCGTCACCTGCACAAAATCAAATGGGGCGATCATTCTCTCACATTCTCCACTCTACGAGTATTTCCGGCTGTCCAAAGACCAACTCCATCTCTCTGTCTTGTGATGGAAAATGCAGATGCTTGGAAGCAGTCAATCGTTTGAGGAAGGGTTCAGTTGAGCTCGGGTTGCCAATATGACAACGGCTCCAACCTTGCGACGCTTTTTCCGTTTCGCTTCTGGCGGGAGCGATTGCGCCTGGAATTGCAGGCACTGCACTGACACAAGGTTAAGGCTACAGTCAATTAAGCAAACACATGCAAGCTGCAGGCACTCACCTCGGCATTCGCACCATTCTCAGGCCTGCAATGTGTTGCCAAGCATTTGAGGCTGGCTTCTATAGTAGCGCTCAGTGCAAGTGCAAGCACTTGCTGAACAATGAAATGAATCAAGAAGAGCAGTGAAGAGCCTCTTGCCGGTGACCTGGGGAGCCATCCCTGGCAGTAGTTCCGGCCTTGCGTGTCACGCAACTGCAGGTTCAAAGCCTTTTGCTGACCTAGACTTCCAGGCAAGATCCTGAATCTTATCAGGACGGGCAGCGGTGCAGAATCCCACAAACGGGAAAGGAACCACTTGCCACGAAGCGGCTAGGCCGACGAAAGGCCCCGCCGGCACCAGCAAAGAACGTGCTGCCGCTGGACCCGGCTTCACCAAAGTTGCCATACCGCGAGGCAACTTTGGGAATTCCATCTGCTCGTGGTTGCAAGTGGTATTCCACGCTAGGTTCCGCGAGTGTATATACATGGCCAGCTCGAATGCATTCTGAGGTCCAGGCTGGCTCAGTGCGTCATGAGACTGAGTCGCTGGACGCGGGGCCTAGGAACCATTCCAAGGCTTGGCTGTGCAGTGAAACGGAAAGCTAACAGCAAAATCAACGAGCTGGATCTACTTAGCTCGTGCAGTGCCTAAGGCAGAAGCAGCCTTCGGCCGTAGCGAGTTGTTTGCTCGCCTGGCAAATGAGATGCAGAGAGCAAATACGAGCGAAGCATGGCAGGAAAGCCAAGGCAATGGATACAAGTCAAACAACTTACTTCTGAGCGAACAAGCATGAACACAAGAAGCTTGCTGCAGGCGGCGCCTGGTCTTCTCTGGCTTCTCTGCCCTAGCTATTCAAGCTTCAGACATGCTCACAGACTGCGACTTAGAGCGTGTGATGACCTCAGGCAGTTGTTACCAACAGCAGCTGGGTTGAGCACGCTCGAGCAAGCTCCAGCATTACATCAGGGAAGTCGCTAGCACCTACCCAGTGCGACTCGTCAAAGCAGCGAAGCCAAAGCAGACACACGCCAGGCCTGGCATTTCTTCTCTTGGCAGTCGTGGCAGCGGAGGTGGGTAGACCTACCGGACTCCGAAAAACTTGTACAAGTCATAATGGATACTACAGCTCACGTGACTGCCAAACCAGCGGAGCAACTGCTTTGAAGGAATTCGGCCGCCAACCTCCCCGCCACTTTGCCGCTTCTTCTTTTTCTTCTGCTTCTTCTCTTCCTTCTGGCCCTCAGCCTGAGGCTGCTAGAGGAAGCACGAGCTTAACAGAAACGAGGCAGAGAGCCCTGCCGGAGCAGGCTCAGTAGCAATGGTAGCGGGAACCTCCTCTGCAGCACCTGGCTGAAGTGCCTTGGCTTCCAGACACCGTCAGAGATTCTGAGCAAGGCCTGTGATCCCATGAGTCCAGTGCCCTGAGGTCGAACTCTTCTTGGCCAGGCGATGTCCGCGCAGGCGACGGCTCACGCTCCTTTCCAAAGCAAGGAAGAGATTAGTGGTCCTGACACCTAGGAGGTCTGGGCGAAGAGCTGCTTCTACATGATCTGCAAACTAGTGGGCTCTGAAATGCCAGTGTTGCAGATCCAAGTTACACTAACCAGGTACGGCTCTGTTCGAACTCAAAACGCGCCTTTGGCTGAGGGCTTGGTGAAACCAGGCGGAGAGGCGGAGCTTCCTTCAGCTTATGATAGCGGTGTGTCATGGTCATAGCTTGCAGGTCCCAAACGTACAGTCCTGCGGGGATTCCACAACCTCGAGCTCCGAGGCATCACCGTCCTCGCCCACCTCCACCGGCTCCATGCCCGCCTCCCAAACGTTGAACCTTGGTCAGGCAACAAGATTTGAGTGATCGAGGCATGTTAGCCTGCAGATGCCCACGTGTTTTTCTTCCTCCTGGACATCCTCGTCTGTGCGTGCAAATTCTGAGGCTCACACGCCAAAGGCGCAGAGTCTGGGGACAAAGTTTGCAAGTACCTCGACAGCGACTTACTCACAGTCGAAAGCACAGTACTGGTCTTGTAATCCTGGCCGACTCCTGCAAAGATGGCAATGTATGTCCCAGAAAGCACGAACAACGTGCCCCTCAAAGCATGTGCAGGGGCGAACTTGTCGCAAAGCGCCCGGTATAAAGCCGCCTGGCACTCAGGCGCAAAGGAACCCAAGATAAGTTCGCAGATATCCACATCATTCTCACTGCCGGATTGGCGGCAAAGGAAAGCTGCACATCCTAATGGTGATCTCCTTCCGCCTTGCCTTTACGAATACAAAGCATCGCTGCACTTGTGCTGCACTGTGATTGCCCTTGGCTGGACGCCTTGAACGTGATCGGGCACACACTTTCCGGCAACGCATACACACCGTGACTGGGGGCCCACTTCAACAGTCACCTACCTCTCGAAAAACTTCTTTCAGATAACTCCAGCATTCATGACAGGGGTGAAGCACCTCGCTGTCTTTGTATTTGACGAAAATGCCTGCCATGAGCGTGCAAGGTGTAGCGCGTAGGATAGCAGAGGATAGCCCCGTGATCGTCGGACATACTGTGAGACTTCAAGGCTAATAAGTCCACCATGGACCTGACATGCCTCCAAAGCAAACAATGCGGCTTAGGCACTGTCAAGCTCCTGGAGCTTGGGGGGATTGAAGCGTCTGTACCTTGGTACGCGCGCAGCGCTAGGCTGCACGCTTTCGACGAGCAAGTCCTATCGCAGCTATCCTGGCGTGCTCCAAAGATCTCCCATACCGTCTGAAACAGGAGCTGCTGAGGCAAACACATGGCTTCTATCAGCGGCTGCCAATCCTTCTGTGGCCGGCAAAACCTTGGCCAAGGAGGCATCCCGCAAAACATCTACACACCAAATCCGGCAATGGGCCTCACTGGCTGAACGTGAGATGTCGCAGGGTAGCTGCTCCGTGCAACAAAGCTAAGATGACCACACATACTTCCGCACAATCCGATCGTAGATCTCGTCCTGTCATTCTCGCAGTGCTGCTGAGTATGACGGCCGCAAATGTTAGGATTTATATCACGAGGACCTGCAAGGACCACATGTTTTCCAACTTCAAGGCGTTCGGTTGAGCGGTATAGGAGTGCCCCTGCGTTTTTGTTCTGTCCTCTTGAGAGTAACACAAAAACAGAAAGACTACTTCCGGGCTCCTTGTTCTTTCTGTGTAAATCCCTTACTGAATGTATTTCAGATGTTTGAAAAAGAATTCTGACATCCAGGGCTCCTGACATGATCTAGATAGTTTGTTGCTACGCGCTGCAAGCTTGAATTGGAGTCTTTAAATCCTGGGAGCCTGCTCTTCTTATTTATCGATGCCAAAGTCCCTTACTAAATACATATGCTTTAAGCTTTACATCTGCATTCTCGCGTCTCGCGTTTCTTTTATTCTTTATATGAGCCCCTTCTTAGGAATATTTCATGGTCTCCAATATATGCATATATACATATTAAATTTTCTGAATCATTGCTATGAAGTTGAGACACACTAACTCAGGAGTTATGAAGGGGATAAAAAGAGCTCGAGACTTGAGAAATCCCGTCATTACATATATGTAGTGTGGGGTTTATACATAGAGAAAGCTGAATAGAGCCAGGACTTAACCATTTCTGCTGAGAATGCAGCACATGTACACAGAGATTCATTCATATGGTGAAGCACAAGAACCTTGCATGTATTCCCTTAAAATCAATGCATTACGAGCTTTTGTGAGCAGAAAACAAGAAGCTCAGGACTTGTCAGCTCCTTTCTATATGAAGCATATTCAGTAAGGGATTTGTTGTAAGAAAGCTGGGGAGCCCACAATCAAAGAATTCTCCTGTAATTCGGAACCAGCTTGGTGAGTGTTTCATATATGGAAACTGCAGGGCCAAGGATTTGAGACTTCCCCTGCAGAAATAAACCCAAAACACCAACCTTTCCGTAATTTGGCCACTGGTAGACCCAAATCTCTGTTCCTAAGAACTGAATAAAGTTCTCTCTTCTCTGCAATAAAGATATAAGAAAGATACCATTGACTTGAGAGAAGTGGAAGCTCCAGTTGCTTGCAGGTGTTTTCTTTGGATTCCATGGAAATTCAACAGAATCAACTGGAGCTTGAAGTCTCTCCTTATGGAGAAGGGTCCATACTTGTAATTAAGACAGACACACTTCTCTGCATTTCAAGAAAATGTCTTGGTTTCCATAGCGCGCTATGTCTAAGGCCTTGCGTAGAATCAAACCTACGCTCTTCAGAAGAGAGATCTCGCTTCTCTGCAGAATGTAACAAAAGTACATTGGAGTCAATGACAGTAAACAAGACCCTGTTACACCCACATCGTAGCGAATGAGATAAATCAAGGAGCGCAGTAATCAGTATAATTATATAAAGCCCAACCCACAAACCTTTCCCTGACTTGGTCACTGGTAAAACAAAACCTATGTTCCATTGAACTGAATTAGAGTTCTCTCCTCTGCAATAAAGATACAAGAGAGCCACAATTGCTTTGAGGGAAGTGGAAGCTCCTGTTGCTGGCAGGTTTTATTTTGGATTCCACGGAAATTCAATGGAATCAGCGCTGAACCTTCTGGCCAATCTTAAAATGGAAAAGCTTCATGCTAGTAATGAGGATAATGAGGACACGCGTTTGCAATTCAAGATTCATTGTTATAGTGCGCCACGTGTATAGATATATATTTTTTTACCCTGCGTGGAAACAAGAATCTGTTCTTCACAAGAGAGATCTTTCTTCTCTGCAAAAACTGCACAAGCAGCCCTGTTGACGTGACGGAAGCGAAAGATCCAGTTCCTTGCTCGTGTTTTTCTTTCCATTCAGCTCCGAAACCAAGACCTATTCAAGAACACAGGGCTTTATTCCAGAACACCAGAATGAAATTGTCCAACAATTGCTTTTTTGGGCACTTGTTTCAATTTGGGTCCAGAGAATTCGCGTACCAAAACATAAAAAGCAGGCAACTATTTCGGGTTCCTTGGGAAGTTGGTCGGGAAATTTGTTGTTTTTGTTGTTGGTTCTTTTTTGTTTTCGTTGTTTTTTGGTTGTTTGTTTTCTTGGTGCTTCTCTAGCTACTGCAATGACACTGAGAACGAACTAGCCAACATACAAAGGAAAACTTTGATGCAAGAACCTTGGAGAACGAGCTAGCCATGCCATGTGCTAGAAACTTACCAGCCAAACCGTGTTTGAGAAAGCTATATGCGTAAAGTAACGACGATGTGAATCTACTGTGGTTCGAAGCTAAACCTGCGTCTCAAAAGTATAATTGTGCGCAGCGTTTTCCGCATACATTCATGGAAAAAAAGCAGGGGCACAGATATACCGCCAAACCAAAGCGTCCATACTGTTGATCTTTAGACAATCGCCTGTAGACTCTGTTGAACACGCGACACGGACAAAAGTACAGGTTGCTGCAACTCCTCTGCAAAGTCTCAGCCAACTACCGGCAGGTACTTGCCACGCGAGCAGGCCTCCTGGTCCTTATACTTCTCCATAAGCCTCCCAATTCAAAGCCCCCGCGCAGTACAGTAGCAGCTCTTATCCAATTCCTACATACGCTGCCCCGCATAAGCAAACTTAAAACCACAACGGGTCTGGTCTTGAGCTTTGCTAGTCGTCCAAATTGCCAACAGCCACGAGCAGCAAGCGATATTCCCCGCCAGCAAGACAAACACCAAACGAATGCATCAAGCAGGCACATCGGCAGCCCATTGGACAAGCAAACGAAGCGACAGCGCATTTGCAAAAACGATGCCACCTGCCTGGGAACATCAGAGAATTTCTCAGCATTCCACTTGGCATAGACAGCCTGCGCTGTGGTTTGTAGCTTCTATTGCTTCACGAGAGAGCTTGCTTGGAGCTGCGGATACAACATGTTCTTTCCGCAGTCTCGGACTTCATGGCTTGGCAAACGAGGCTTTCTGATTGCAGGCCATGCCGGAATCGCAACTCCTCAGGCACCCTTGAAGTACAATGCAGGAAGTTTGCCAGCAGCCCCTCGAGCGTGGACTATATGAACATGGAACACACAACTGGACAGTGGTCACTGCCACCATACTTGCTCAGAATACGGCAGTCTTGGAGAGTGACCTGCGACGCAAGAAGTAACACAGCAGATACCCTCACTCCGCGGCGCTTTGCATCCAACAGGATCCTAAACACCAACCCAACCAGCCCATGGGAGGTGGCAACTAGCCAGCCAGGAATCCGCGCCTGGGTCGTGCCCTCAGCAATAAATCGGCTAAGAAGGAAGTAGTCTAGGCGCAGGCCCTTGTTCACCGGCCGCAGTCTATGTCCTTGGCTACGAATTGGCTGAAGCATCACGTGCCGTCGAGTCACCAGGTAACACAAAAGCATACCAGAATACGTCACTTTTTGTGTATGAAATCTTCCAGACATCACAATCAAGATGCTACGACTCCAGTAGGTGTACATGCCTGCAGCTTCAGGATTCAACCAGCGGAAAGCATCGACCATGTCTAACCTCGGTCCAAGGAAAACAGTCTCACCATGAGATGCCATTAGGCACATCCTTCAAGGAGCCTCACTTCCATTGTAAGCTCAGCCTTGCAACTCCGAGAGGAAACGGCTGAAACTTGCCCTCTCCTCTGCTGTGGTGCCAGCTTGCTTCAGAATCCGGGGTTCAGCCGCATTCCAAATGTCTAGGTCCTCGCGAGGCTGGAAATCAGTTGCTTGTGTTCAACCATCAAATGCAAAGCTCCTGGTGCGCGACGTTTAGGTCTCCGCACAAGACGACACCACCACGGCCTCTGGCCTCCGGGGTATGACAGGTCATGCAGGAAAGCTTCATAGCAGAAAGCTGGACACCCAGGATGTTCTTTGATCTGCCGGAGCTTTGCGCTGAATATCCCTTGAACACGACCGTCCTGTCCCAAGTAGCTGCGCAAGCTCTTGTCCCACTCCTCCGATTTGCGTGGTACGGCAAGATAAAGTAGATCATCAAATGAAGCAAAGCGATGCTGCATGACGAAGTCACACTCCCAAACCAACAGAAACGGCAGTCAATGAAATGAAGCTCAGCAACATTCACTCTGTAAGCCAGGCGTGCCAGTTGTTGGCCGGAGTTTGGGACGTAGACGCCAACCACCGTGAGCCCGCAGTTCAATGCCAAGGAAACCTTCTGCTTGATGTAAGGGAGCATTCGCAGCATTCTGAAGAAAATGGGCTCTAGGGCGGCAGGCATTGACATGCACGGCAGGGAACGACTGTTGCAAAGCAAGTCACACTCCTGCCCTCGGCCTGCTCAACCTTGCCAACTACACCGGTGCTTGCATCCACGACTCCTCCTCCGGCATCGGAATGGTAAATGGCACAAGTGCCAGAGTAACCTTCCATGAAACCAGAGAACGGGGCTGTTGCTTTCAACGCATGCAATGTTTTCAAGCTTTGCTACGGCTCCTTGCCTTTCCGCTGCAGTGAGACCGCCCAAGTCGCACCTTGACACCACGCTTATCAAGTACGCTTCAAGACGCGAGGTCGAAGAAAAAAAACGTTGCCCGTCATGAACAACTGCTTGGGTGATGTTGTTTCATCCTTTCAAGGTAGCCCCGATGTCCTTGGACCCAGACTCTAGATTCCTTCAAGTGCAATGCTCAGGGCACGGTGGGGTCCCTTGTCAGCACAGGCTTCGTCGAATATACGCAACACGTCAGGCTCGTGCTTCGGGACGTGTATGTCTTGGAACTTGTGCTCCTCAAATGGTTTGCAGCAAGCTGCATAGTGGCTCTCTCCCAGGGAGTCTGAGGATTCAGCACGACGGAAGTCTGCGATCGTCCTGCAGGAATGTGATGTCAGGCTGCTCATCTTTCAGGATGGCAGAGAGTTCAGCACCGTCATCTCGTTTCAGCATTGACCTGTGTGTTGCTGGAAACTCATGGAAGCACATGTGTTACACGCAAACGTTTGACTAGCAGATTCCTGTCTTGCGTTCAGGCTGCTGGCCTCAATCCTGCAACATTCCAAGTCAGGATCTTCAACGGCGGCCTCGTGTTCCACCCTATTGCGGCTTCGACAAGCAGAAAGTTCACCAGCGATTGCGCAATTAGCACAGACGATACAAGGGAGAGAGAGGCCGAGAGAGAGAAGAGAGAGAGAGAGAGAGAGAGAGAGAGACTTGTTTTCGACTTTCGAAACGCAGAACGTACTG